CTCACGGACACCACAGGAAGACGTTGCTCTTAACCCCCCCCCCCCCCCCCCCCCCCCCCCGGCTTTACCTCGTTCGAAGGAGCCAGTCTTTTGAACGGCTCTTTGAGGTAAACGACCGACTAATGAATGGCTCCCATGAAAGAGCCATAAATCCCCTCACTACAGTGTATCAGCCACTTATAATGTGTGCATACCGGGCGTGGGCGATGCCGTGGAGTTTGTGGGTATTTTAACAACAATACAAGATTTAAGATCCTCCTCCATGTGTTCAGGGTGCTGCAGGGCAGTGCTCCCCTATATCTTGCTGAACTGTTGCAGTGGCGTGAGAGAACGGGGCCTGCCCGTTCCATCCACCGCAGGTGAAGCGCATGGCTCCGTCCACCTCACAGCCAGAGAGGAGAGAAGCACATCGGCTTGGGTTATACAGATGGGATTGTGTGTGAAATAACGCCAGTTAAATGATTACCTCAGTGTTGTTTGTGTGCATGTTGTCCAGTAGCTTATACTATAATTAGTATAATCTGTTTTTCTTTTCATAAACCTGACTGCTTGGTGCCCCTCTGGCCACCCGATGCCCTGCGCACTGTGCGTGATGCGCGTTTAGGGAGCGTTGGTTGCTCATGGGGAAAAACCGGCAGTGCTGGTTTTTCAAAGTAAAATCAATTTTAAAGTTTCGGTATATTTAAATTCATTTTTAACTGTCATTATGGTAAGTGTACATGCACAAATATAAACTATATATGTCTAGTATTTACATTGTTTTAATGTATATTCCAAAAATTTATTCTTAAGGTACTTTTAACTTTTTTTTATCCTTCTGAAGGTGTGGCGGCGCGCCACGGCAAAATACATGTAGAGGAAACCCTGTGTCCCCGTTTCAGTAATATCTAATCCAGAATTTTACATTTTGTGGAAGGAAAATAAAAATCTGATTATTGCACAAATCATTCCACAAACGTGTTCAAGTCTGTGCTGGAAACACATAGATTCATTTCAGGTTTGCAGCACAGATCCCCATTTCTGTGAACGCAGCAGCTGTTTCTGCAGCAGGTGGATGGGGACGTGGTTGTAAAGAAGACAGGGTAACGTCGGTTAATCAGACCTGGTTTGTGATTAATGAGGCTGATGTTGAGTAGAAAAACATCCTCAGTTAAATATTCTGGGAGACTGTGTAAAAACACATTAACGCACATGAGATGAGATGAGATGCGGTTCGTTTATTAACACATGATGAACACGGGCACTTCTGAAAATCTCCTGTTACTTAGTTTGAACCAAATTTTCTCAACAGTTTCAGCTGATTGTCACATTTTATTAATGATAAACCTTAACAGAGCTCAGTAATTAAACGTGAGTCTGAACCCCCCACCCCCTTGCATGTTTGTCACACAAAATGTTTCTGATCATCAAACACATTTAACCATTAGTCAAAGATAACACAAGTAAACACAAAATGCAGTTTTGAAATGATGGTTTTTATTATTTAGGCAGAGAACAAAATCCAAACCTATGTTGCCCTGTGTGAAAAAGTAATTGCCCCTCTTGTTAAAAAGTAACCCAACTGTGGTGTTTCACACCTGAGTTCAATTTCTGTCGCCACCCCCAAGCCTGATTACTGCCACCAGCGCCGGCGCTCCGCACACGCACACCACGCACAGCGCGTAGGGCACCACGCCGGGGAAGGGGCACCAAACGCAAGCTTATGAAATATAATATATATATATATATGATAAAGACATATTTCAATTAGAAGATGTGCCAAAGCAAGTTAACAGCATGTTTACAGAGAGAAAACAATACAAAAAGGAAAGGAGATGGACCGTGTCCACTTTTCACTCTCTGTCCGGACGTCCGGACTGGGGGTTCTTATATTGATGAAAATGTCCGGCGTTTCATCCAGGAGCAGGGATGGGGGAGCTGTATATCCTACACATCCAGGGGACCCGGAAGAAAGTTTTCTACCTATATTACATCATTTATGGACTCTTTTGAGCAGAGAACACAGAGAGCGTCACAGCGCTGCGTTGTTGCGCAGCGATTCAGGCTGCTGCTTCCAGCGCACGGTCCATTCTCAACGTGGCGCAGGCAAAAAACTATAATTAACACACGATCGTTCATGTCCGTTCATGTTCTCTATTTTCTGTCTTATTTGTGCCTGGCGCTCTGCTACTGCAGAGCTCATCACCTGTGTTGCGGTGATTTCACCTCACTGACGCAGCATCGAATCGCGCACTCCGCTTTGCGGTCAGGAGATCCCTTTGATCTGCTCAAAAGTAACTGATGAGGTGAAAAAGTAAGAATCCAGGCAGTAGTTTTTCTGGAGAGTTTAGAGGAGATGCAGGAAGATGAGAGACAGACAGGACAGGAAAATAGTTAAATAAAAACAAGAAAACAAAACAAAGTGTTGAAAAGTAAAATGTAGGTAGATTTATCTCCACTACATGTTTTTACCTGTATAAAACAATAAGTTATACACATGTAATATTTATACATTTGATACAGTTCAGATCACCTTCAAAACTCAGTCACACACCCAGGGCCGTTTCAAGACATTTTGGGGGCCAAGGCAAAATGACCCCACCCCCCACCCACACACACACACACACACACACACACACACAAAATATCAATCCTACTTTTTGGAAAATGATAAGCAGTTTGTGCAAACAAGAGAATTAAAGAAAATTTAAGGTGAAGCGCTTGCACATACTGTGTTATTGTGTTGTTTTTTCTGTATGTGTGTGTGTGTGTGTGTGTGGGGGGGGGGGGCACCACGAAGCCTTTGTGCTTAGGGCACCAAAATAGCTAGCAACAGCCCTGACTGCCACACCTGTTTCAGTCAAGAAATCACTTAAACATGAGCTGCCTGACACAGAGAAGTAGACCAAAAGCACCTCAAAAGCTAGACATCATGCCAAGATCCAAAGAAATTCAAGAACAAATGAGAACAAAAGTAATTGAGATCTATCAGTCTGGTAAAGGTTATAAAGCCATTTCTAAAGCTTTGGGACTCCAGCGAACCACAGTGAGAGCCATTATCCACTAATGGCAACAACATGAAACAGTGGTGAACCTTCCCAGGAGTGGGCGGCTGACCAAAATTACCCCAAGAGTGCAGAGACAACTCATCCGAGAGGTCACAAAAGACCCCAGGACAATTTCTAAAGAACTGCACGCCTCACTTGCCTCAATTAAGGTCAGTGTTCACAACTCCACCATAAGAAAGAGACTTTGCAACAATGGCCTGCATGGCAGATTTCCAAGATGCAAACCACTGTTAAGCAAAAAGAACATTATGGCTCGTCTCAATTTTGCTAAGAAACATCTCAATGATTGCCAAGACTTTTGGGGAAACACCTTGTGGACTGATGAGACAAAAATTGAACTTTTTGGAAGGCAAATGTCCCGTTACATCTGGCGTAGAAGTAACACAGCATTTCAGACAAAGAACGTCATACCAGCAGTAAAATATGGTGGTGGTAGTGTGATGGTCTGGGGTTGTTTTGCTGCTTCAGGAACTGGAAGGCTTGCTGTGATAAATGGAACCATGAATTCTACTGTCTACCAAAACATCCTGAAGGAGAATGTCCAGCCACATCTGTCCGTCAACTAAAGCTGAAGCCATCTTGGGTGCTGCAGCAGGACAATGACCCAAAACACACCAGCAAATCCACCTCTGAATGGCTGAAGAACAACAAAATGAAGACTTTGGAGTGGCCTAGTCAAAGTCCTGACCTGAATCCTATTGAGATGCTACGGCATGACCTTAAAAAAGCGGTTCATGCTAGAAAACCCTCAAATAAAGCTGAATTACAACAATTCTGCAAAGAGGAATGGGCCAAAATTCCTCCAGAGCGCTGTAAAAGACTCGTAGCAAGTTATCGCAAACGCTTGATTGCAGTTATTGCTGCTAAGGGAGGCCCAACCAGTTATTAGGTTCAGGGGGCAATTACTTTTTCACACAGGGCAATGTAGGTTTGGATTTTGTTCTCTCCCTAAATAATAAAAACCATCATTTCAAAACTGCATTTTGTGTTTACTTGTGTTATCTTTGACTAATGGTTAAATGTGTTTGATGATCAGAAACATTTTGTGTGACAAACATGCAAAAGAATAAGAAAACAGGAAGGGGCAAATAGTTTTTCACACCACTGTAGCTTTATTTATTGATAACTGACAGATAAACACAACTGTGGTCAACGGGTAGGTGCCGTCTTCTTGCCCTCCAGCCTGAGGCGGGGGTGTGGGCACATTACGTCATGCTGTAATGGTCTATATCCGATTTTGTTAAAAGTTATAAAAAATGTGTTTTTTTGTTGAGTAATCATCTTCAGACGAAATAAATGCAATGGGGGGATTGGAGACTCATCCAAGATGGCAGCTCAGTCCACGTCACATATGTGTATATATCTTTGGTGCTGAAAGCTATAGGTGTTGTGCAGATAAAAGTTAGCCTGCTGGCCGTAGCAGTGTGTGCCCCTTGTCATCGCATAATGACGACGTAAACAATTTTAAATGTGAGGAACTCCATAACTAAATATATTCATCATATTAACTTGTGTTTTATCAGTGTACTTCCTAAACAAGTGATGGTTTTTGGTATATTAACTAAGGAAATGGCATAATTACAGAAAGAAAGAAATAACTAAATAATAATTTGGAAAATTAATGAAAAACTTGGACGTGTTTTCCCTTTTTCCTATTATTTTATAGCTTTGCTGAAGTATCGGATCGGGACTTGGAATCAGCAGATCCTCAAAATCAAATGACTCAGAATCTGATCGGGAGCAAACAGATGTGATAGGAGCATTCCCAATGACCATAAATCTGTCTATAGTGATTCTGTACTCAATGGATCAAATACAAACTCCTTAAAATAAAACGATAACAAAATGTACCATTTTAGTATTTAGAATGAAGGTTTTTTTTATGTGTAATATGTGCTTTATCCTACCTATAGAGCTTTGTTTTTACCTCAGTTTAAACTATTGTATTTTCAGGTGGTTATGATGGTTATCGTCCTCCTTTCACCAACACTCCCAACTCTGGATATGGACAGACTCAGTTCAGCACATCTCGAGACTACTCAAACGGAAACTATCAGAGGGTATGAACGATTTCTTTAGTCCTCATACTGGTTTTCTTAAATAATTCAAGGCTCTTAAGGTATTTACTAAAATGTCTTTATTTAAGGAGGGGTACCAGCAGAACTATAAGCGAGGAGCTGGTCAGGGACCCAGAGGAGTATCAAGAGGCAGCACTCAAGCAATGAGATCCTGAAATGGCCTTTAATCGTGACTGTGACTGAATAACTTGCACCACACTGAAAAGTTGAGTTCATGAATGCATTTGCCCCAGCTCACTTCTGCTCTTTTTTCATTCATCAGTGTTCTTTTTTCCTGTTCCTTTAATCAAAGTTCTGCTTGTATTGATATTTGAGAAATAATAAATCCTTTAAAGGTTAAAACACAAGGTAAACTGTAGATCAAGTCACTGATTTACACTAACTTGTTCCAATACTCCTGTAAACTTGAAAGACTTCATAAGTTATAAATAAATAATTTTTTATTATAAAAATGAATATGCCACTGCTGGCTTAAGTCATGGGAGTTTTTTCCCCTTTCTCAGATATTTTCTGCCATTTTGGTTCAACGTTTTTTTTTCAATGAGCTCCAGTTTCCTTGTTTGTAAATTCAATGTTGCTTCAAAAGTTTCAATAAAGTTGTGTTGCATAGTCGTGTTTCTGCTCTTTAGATGTGGGTAAATCGGGTTACTTGTAAGAGGAATTATCAAACAGTCAACTGAATTGTACATTAAGTTTCAGACTCGTTTCTGATTTGGTTTTATTTATTTTTAAGCAGAATAATGCCATCCATCCATTGTCTGAACCCGCTTGTCCTTGTAGGGTTGCAGGAGGCTGGTGCCTATCTCTAGCGATCAATGGGCAATCAGGCCCAATCAACCTAACAGTCATGTTTTTGGACTGTGGGAGGAAGCCAGAGTACACGCATGCATAGGGAGAACATGCTAACTCCATGCAGAAAGTTCCCAGGCTGGGAAGCGAACCCAGGACCACCTTGTTGTGAGGCAACAGCTCTAACCACTGCACCGCCCAGCAGAATAATATTGAAACTCAAATCAGAGATGTCTGCTGTAGTTTTCTTATCATGAAAGCAACTCCTCTACAACTAACATACATTTAGCATTACTTTAATATTTATGTTACCTTTTCACTGTGATCATAACTGGACCACTGATTCACTCAAACGAGTGAATCTGCAGATGCTTGTCTTCATTTCTTTAGCCTACTTGCCATATTAAAGTTATAATTTTTTCTGGTGTATTTATAAATGCTGAATTCACTAGTTTCTGTCAAAAATATTTAAGAAAAAAATATTAAATATTTTTGACAATCATAGAATTTTTTGACACTTGTTTAAAATAATTTTAATCTTTAGTTTTCCCCCAATTTTTAAATATTTGATATATATTTCTAGCCGGGACTATAGATACAATTCCTATAAAGCAAAGCACGTTTTGTGTAAATAAATATCTCCGTGTTAAATAATTGGATGTTTCTGGATCTGATGTGGGAAATCATCATTGGGGGCAGCAGTAGCTCAGGTGGTAGAGCGGGTTGCTTCATGATTGTAGGGTCATGGGTTCGATTCCAGCTCCCACCAGGGGTATTCTGCTGTTGTGTCCTTGGGCAAGACACTTCACCTAATTAGCCTGTGTTGGTGGTGGTCAGAGAGGCCGACAGCACCAGATGGCAGCCTGCCTCTGTCAGACCAGCTGTGGCTACAAAGTAGATTACCATCTCTGACAGTGTGTGAATGTGAGTGCATGAAACATCTTTGAGTGTCCTAAAGAAGCGCTATATAAGTTCGATGATGATTATCAAATTTTGTTTTCAAACATGAAAAAACATCAGAAAAACTGCTGATCTCTAGCTGCTTGTTTTGAATAAAGTAAAACAATAAAAAACAGGAAAGCAAAACACACACATAGATCTTCTGGATTGAAAAAAGAGCTCAGCATTAAAATGTGTCTCTAAAATTCACGGACATCACTGTGAAATCCATGGCACTTACCAAACGAGATAAGCAGATATTTTATTGATTTTTCAGACTCTATTGTTAGGATGGGCTCCAATGCACAACAATTTATGTATCTGTTGAATGATATCAACATATGGCCTGGAATTATACCTACTTGGTTTCAATGTTGAAAAAATTTCTGTGGGAATCAAGTTATCAATTAACAATAAGCACGCCTCGGATGACCCTCATAGATTACGATACTACTATTGCTCGAGGCTGAAAATGTATGTGCTTGACAGTCACTTATGTCTGGTACAGCCATCTCTGGGTCATGGTTTCAACTCCCAATGCGATGGTTGCAAACTGCAATGCGATGTAAACTATAATTATAGTATAGTAAACAACTTCAATCAAATCTAAAAGATCAGCAAAAAACGAAGGTTTACCAAATAAAATCTGGTTCAAACTCGCTCTCTTAAAACAGCAGAATTTCGTTTGAGAGTACTAAATTACACGTTTGTAATTTGAAAGAGTCAAAGTAAAAATCGATTTCCAATGTGAACAAATTAAACCAAAATAAGCGTTTTAAAGCTGTTCGGGGGGAAATGACGTCAGCTCTTGTGCTGCTTTGTTTAGGACTCGGTAGATACGGAAATCAGGGTGCGCACGTTCCGACCAGATTTTGAACAAACAGTTTGGAAGAAAATACGACTAAGTGTAAGTTGATCCTCAAAGTAGTTATAAGTGTTGTAACTAATTTACGCTCAAATATTTCTAGTCACGCTCTTTACTTGTCATGATCAGATGTGTCAATAATTAATTTACTTAACAGAGAAAACAAGTCTCCGTAGAGACCGTCAAAAATTGCCATTGCCGACTATATTTCAAGTCGTCAAGGCGGGGTATTGGGTAAAGTTTTCAACTAGCAATAATCGCGCCTCGGATAAACCTCATAGGCTACGATACTGCCACTGCGCAAAGCTGATTTGATTACGTACATCTCAGTCACTTATATTTGGTACAGCTACCTCTGGGTCATGGTTTCAACATCCACTGCGATGGTTGCGAACAACATTGTGATGTAAACTACAAAGATAGTCTACATTCTTAAAACAACTTCAATCATCTAAAGTAAAGTAAATAGAGAAAACTTTTATAGAAACGAAACAAAAAATAAGTGTTAAAGCGGTTCATGGAAATGACGTCAGTTTTTGTCCCGCTTTGTTTAGGGCTCGGCAGAAATCGGGTGCGCACGTTCCGACCAACAGTTAAACCAACAATTTTGGGATGAAATTTGGCTGAATTAATTTGGTATTTTAATGTAATGTGTCACCGTCTTAGTGATGTGACGTTCACGAACGAATCGAATCTTTTGAACGGGTTTTCAAAGTGAATGATGAGAGCCGAGTCATCTTAACAAACCTCCCCGGAGGTCGGTCAAACCCCACCCACCGCTGTGACGGACATAGGAGGAAACTTAGTATAGAAAGATGAGCTTTTATGCACATCTATGGGAGGAACGCTAATCTTCACCGTGCTTCGTCACAGACTAACAACTATTACGTCGGCTATTACCAATCTAAGAACATCAAAGTTTCTACATTAAGATTTTATGTTAACAATATTATCAGTCCCCGTAGAGACCGTCAAAAATTGCCATTGCCGACTATATTTCAAGTCGTCAAGGCGGGGTATTGGGTAAAGTTTTCAACTAGCAATAATCGCGCCTCGGATAAACCTCATAGGCTACGATACTGCCACTGCGCAAAGCTGACGTAAGAAAGGCTGAGAACGGGAGGTCACTGTGCCACACACTATACTTAGTCATGGTTTTCAAAATGTATCAAAAGTTACTAAATATGTCCGTAGACAACGTTATCCATGCATGCATTTACTTGTATACTAGCTTATATGCTGTAATTTATAAATTATTCGCATTTTTATGTATTTCAAAATGCAGCTTTGGCGCAATGCATTCTGGGACAGCCTACGTCATTGCCGAGCTCCACATTAATCGCTTCTTCAAAAAGTCAACAAAAGTCGTTTTTGAGAAGATGACAGCGGAATGTTGTTTCAGATGTTTGCCCTAAACTAGGCGGTTTTAGTGTGATGAAGCCGAAACCATTTTAAACATTTTAATAAGCGCTTATTTAAGTTAGTAAACAAATAACTGCTGAAACGAACAACTTTAGTCTAAGTAAACAAATTAACATTGAAACGAACAACTCAAAAGTCTTATCTGTGACCCTTTTCATTTCTCATTAAGCTACTTCTGGAAAGATCTATAAAATGTTTCATTTTCACACGACAAAAAAATGCATTATCAGAGTTCCACCACAAGATGGCGATGTAAACAAGGGGAAACGTTTACAAGCCAAGCCAAGTGTTCTCTATTCCGGTCTTCTGTCCACTTCACAGAAGTAGAGAAAACATCGTACAGGTAAGATTTAATTAAATGGAAACAATATGACACATTAAAGCTAGGGTGACCAGGTGTCCCAGTTTACCCGGGACAGTCCCGATTTTGAGCCATTTGTCCTGTGTCCCCAAAGATTTTTACAAACCTGTTAATGTTGTCCCGATTTCACCCAGCCTTGGTCCCAAGTGTCCCGATTTTGAACTAATTGCTCATAGTTCACAGAACTAATTGTCACTGGGTTGTTTGTATGTCAATCAGAAAGTTGTCATAGTGACATTAGCTCAACTTTATGTCACATGTCTGTGTAACCTAATGCTCATTGGTTGATGACAACGCAAGACGGCTGCGAAGTCCTGCGTAAAGACGAGTCACCAAGTCACTCGTTGTTCAGCATGCCTAAAAGATGGTCAAGACTGACAAAAGAGCTACTGGAACGACACAGCTTTCTCAGGAAGGTGCCAGGTGCAGCCTGCTACAGACTGAACTGCATTGTGCACTATGTGTGCTGCACATCCTACACCAACCAGACTGTTGGGGGTGGCCTGATCAAGTTTATGAAAAACATTGTTTTGTCCTCGTCTTGCTTTTCCTCCTAAATTTGTATTGGTGTTGTCTGCACAAAAGCCGACCACTTTATCCACCAAACCGAATGCAGATAGGCACCTGTAAACCTCATCACACAGCAGGGTTGAGGTCTCACCTGTTGTAAAGTCGAGTATCTTCACTCTGACCCCCTCGGTTATTTTGAAGTAGCGCACAACAACAGGAACAAGCTTCACTGCCTTGTGGTTTGATGCGTCAACTGCGACAGAGACCAGAGTAGTATCCGTAGTGTCTTCTTTTAGCAAATCTATAGCATGCGGGGCAATTACACTTGTCACCACTGCCTCAGCTTTGGTCCGAGCACACGTAAAACGCTGGTCATAAAATTTTCAAAGTAGTCCAGCAGTACAGTAGCCTAGTGAACCAGACCAAATTCTTGCTTTGCAAAGAATGGTCTAGGCATGCTCCATTGGAACCTCAGCAGCTCCTACCAGGACTCTGGCTAGCCAATCACAGCTCTCTAGAGGGGTTTCAAACACATAAAGAGCTGTGATTGGTCCATAATGGTGGGCCAATCATGCTCTATCTGCTCAGTGAACAAATCACAGAGCTTTATCCGCTTTGTGGGCCAATCAGGGCACTCTATATGCCTGGTGGGTGGGATGATGCAACAGAGTGAAACAAGAGTATGTCACATTCATTATCCAGTGGAATGCGGAGATCATTTGAAAGACAACGGTAGAACCCGCCCCACAACCGAGAGCCGTCAATGGAGCATGGCCAGACTAAATAATACATTTATTTAGTCTGGCTTGCCAGGCTAGCAGTACAGTCCATTGAACGAAAGTTGTGATTGTGCTTAACAAGGTGGTAGGCAAATGTTGCTTCCTGAGCAGCGCGTTTAAGGTCTTTGTCTCCAGCAGCAGTAGCACTAAAAACATGCTAACCGAACTTTCCGCCTGTTACCACCGCTTATGTTTGCTAGTTTTAATATGGTTCTGCACGTCCGCGTTTCCACCATGATCAACGGAGAATTCACACTTACATAAGACGCAAAACGCAGCATATTCATTTCCTGGCACCTTCCTGTCGTTCCAGTAGCTCTTTTGTTAGTCTTGACCATCTTTTAGGCATGCTGAACAACGAGTGACTTGGTGAATCGTCTTTACGCATGACTTAGGAGCCGTCTTGCGTCAACGGCGTTGTCATCAACCAATGAGCATTAGGTTACACAGACATGTGACATAAAGTTGAGCTAATGTGACATTGAGAACTTTGTTGTCAAGGTTTTTGGATATTTTCACATCTACACTGTCCGAACTGAGGAGCTGAAAGACTTCTGTTCATTTGTTGATGTTGAACATGCCACTCTCCTTGGGACCAGCAGAACCGATTGGCTCTCACTGGGACCTGCAGTTGAGGGTTCTGAAGCTTTATCCAGCACTTCAGTCCTACTTCAGGTCTCAGGGAAAAGCACCAAATTTAATCATCAAGTTCCTAGAAAACCAAGTGTGTGAGGCCTGGTTGTGGTTTACACACATTACAACCAACTGTCACTGTTCAATGACACCATCAAAAAGATGGAGAAAGAGAAGAGCAGCTGTCCACGCTGCACAGCACCTGTGTGATCTACAGGAGAAACTTTTGGAGAGGAAGGCCGCCCTCTTCATGGGATTAAAGGTGAGTTTAAACATTTTCAAATTAAAAGTAATTTAAAAACAAGGCTCTTATATTAATGCTTCTTGAATTATTATTGGTGTTTTTTTCAGGTGAAGAGCATTCTGGCTACCCAAGAGCGCCCTCAAGTGGAGGTGTTTAAGCAAAGCGTCCACACCTTCTATGAAGGTTGCATCTCATATCTGCAGGAGTGGAGCTCCTCATTTACTGACATGAAGTGCTTCTCTTGGACCCTGCTCGAAGATCCACCAGGTTGGGATGAGGTTGAGAGCTCTCTGAGGTGTGTCTCCTCAAAGCTGCCAAACATTCACATCAATGAAACGGAGCTCTTTGACGAAGTTACTTCTGTCAAAACTTACACATCTGACAAGATTGGACTGTGGGACCGAGACATTAAACCAGCAGATGAGCGCTGGGCTGAAATCTTTACACATTTTAAGCATCAGAATGTCCCATTTAAAAATGTAGCCGTCATCTGCCAGTTTGCCATGTGCCTACCTGGCACAAACGCCTCTGTGGAACGCATTTTTTCTCTCATGAACAACACTTGGACCAATGAGAGAAATCGTTTGGGACTGGAAACTCTGAAGGCACTGCTCATTACTCGGGTGAACTTTGATGGCTGCTCTGAGTTTCATGCCAGACTTGTTGACAACCACAGTCTGCTTAAAAAGATTCACTCAAACATGAAATACGCTTAAAGAGATACTGTGACATTAAAGGGAACAATAGGGCTGTTCATTTAGTGCAATATTTTTGTTTCTAAAAAACTTGAAGTCAGTGAAATACTTTTTTTGTTCACAAAAGGGCTAAATTTAATATTGCCCAAACAAATGTGTTTAAAAAAATACTGTATTGGTTTGGAAAACGATTGCACTAAAAATATTAGAAAAACTGTCCTTATTCTGAATATAGATCAAATGTTTCTGTTCTTGCACATTCTACAATCAAAAGCTGTTATTAAGGTCAGTTAAATTCTTTGTTTATCTTTTCACAAAAGGGCTACATTTAATATTGCCCAATGTGTTTCACAAATACAGTATTATTTTGAAAAAGAAAATAACAAAACATTGCACTAAAAAAAGAATGTCCTTATTTTAATAGGATGTTCAAATGTTGTTGCATTTTGTACAATAAAAAGCAGTTATAAGTCACCAGCAAGGATTTGTCAGTCTTTAATTTAGTGTAAAACTTTGGTGTCCCAGTTTTCAGTTTTTTAAATATGGTCACCCTAGGCTGGGATCAACTGACGACACCCAGTCGAACTAGCTACAAGCTAACCCAAAGCTAACACGGAGGTGGGAGCTAAGCTAACGGAGGTAGCCATCTAGCTACAACCGGAGTTAACTGTGCACAACACCAGAGCTTCTGAGTCAGAGCTACGCCGGGCTGACCGCTGGGTAAAACCAGGTGGAACACAGAGGTCTCCGAGACCTCCACGCCGGCAGCCGCACAGCAGACAAGTGCCGCTGCGATCTGAGATGCGCAGAGCTGCTGCTGGGGAGAACCGGGTAGAAAGGTTTCCATCCCAGAGCTCCACAAGCCGGCAGCCCGCGCAGCAGACAGAAGCCGCAATCAGACAGAGATGCGCCAAGCTGCGGGGAGGGGAGAACCGGGTGGAAAACTTCAGTCTCCCGAGAGCTCCACAAGCCGATAGTGGGAACCCAGCTGCACCAACATGTTATACTTCAACCCATTTTCTAAAGTGCAGCATTATGTTAAATGCACTGGGTTTTACCCTATTACATTTAAATTTCATGGTTAAACAGTACATGTTAAAATCTAAGCTCAGCTCGGCAGTGACCTAAAATACATAAATATAATTTTACTTACCGAAAAAAATGAAGTGGAGACTCCTTGGACGCTCTATTATTGCAATTAATACCACAGCAAGTCATTTTGTCCAACAATTGCACAAAAATATCCAAAAGAGAATACACAAACGCTACAACTAATGGTCTAAGTTGAGAGACTGAAACTGACGGAACAGTTATCAGGCGAGGCCGAGGCTCAGACTGAGGCCTTTCCCCGGAGCTAGCTCTGCGGTCACGTGGGTCTGATGCTCATTAATTACTGTAAATCCTCTAATATTGGCCTGTATTCAATTGACGGCCGGGTATCACATTTTGGCCAGTGTCGGAGTCGGCGGAGGTGAATAATGGCCGGTTTTTTATTGTGGCCGGGTGGAATGTGGTAACAAGCAAGTACCACAGGGGGGCGGTTGTGTCATCCGTCTCACTTTTGATTTGCCAGTGATAGACCGCGAGGGTAACTTTAACCATGGCAGGTGCGGAGACGAAGGGGAGGCGAAAATTTGATATCAAGTTCAAAGAGAACGTGCTGATTATGCTGCAGAACACTCTGGGGAGCAATATGAACTAGTCACTAGTCGACTTCACCGCTCTATAGTGACTTGTTATGCCTGTCATTGACTAGTCGCTGTCACATGATAATGACCTGCAAGATGCAGTCCTCGGAAAAGACAGCAGCCTGCTGTCAGCAGGTGACAAGCTCCTGCACGTCGGGAGGCAACGCACTGTGCCAGAGCGTCGGTACTGACACCCGCCGTAAAACGGTCATTTAACCAAACTGTGACCTTTACCCTCTTGCAATTTAACCTTCCCCTCACCCCCATCCTAACCTTAACCAGCTTGCGCATGCAAAGCTCTGATTGTTGACGCGCTCCAGACATCTGCGTCCTGAGCACGGCCACAGTAACATTATCAAATTAGGTGTCGCCACCTCAAAAACTAATTTAACACGCGATCGTTCATGTCGGCTCATTTCCTTTTATGTTTTCTGTCTTTTATTTGTGCCTGATGCTTTTCGCTGCTGTGGATCGGGGCGCATCACCTTGTCCTCCAGTGACGCACCGTTGCGGCCGGCGAGCAGCTCGCACCCCGTTGTTTTTGCGGTCGGTAGATCTTTTAGGACTGCAGTTCAAAGGTAACTCATAAGGTGAATATATATAAAGTTAAAGTTAAAGTCAAAGTCCCATTAGTTGTCACACACACAGGTGTGTGCGCGAAATTTGTTCTCCGCATTTGACCCATCCCCTGGGGGAGCGGTGAGCTGCAGACACAGCCGCGCTCGGGAACCATTTGGTGGTTTAACCCCCCAATCCAACCCCTTAATGCTGAGTGTCAAGCAGGGAGGCATTGGGTCCCATTTTTTCAAAGTCTTTGGTATGACCCGACCAGGAATCGAACCCCTGATCTCCCAGTCTTAGGGCGGACACTACCACTAGGCCACTGAGAAAGGTTAGGATTGAGAGGAAATGTAGGAAGATAATAAACAGATACAAGACAGAAAAATAGTCAAATAAAAACAAGTTTGTTTTTGTACCTGGTGGTTGCAACAAACAGACACCATTGAAGGTAATCAGAAGTGAGGAACAGAAAATGAAATAATTATTTTAATGTTTAGAGCAGCAGGAACTCTGAGAGGCTGCAGGCGCATCAGTGAGTTTGCGGCCGCTGCGCAGGGGGAGGGGGGAGATGGCTGAAGCAGAAACTACCGTTGTTAAAAGAAATGTGTTTAACTTTGAAAATGTGGGCGCAATTTTAATTGTCAAAAACTCCAGCGAACCATTAGTTCATTTTGCTCAAATAGAAATTGAGGCCTGCCTTTAATTCTGGTCCTCCTTCCAATAAAGGCTTGATGAGCTTGAGTCAAATACAGGCCCGGGCCTGTATTAGAAGATTTACAGTGTACAGAATTTTAGGCTTTAAATACACTTAAACAGAAGAGTGAAAAAAAATTCACCCCCCTCAGAGTTGTCATGAGTGTAAACTAGATAATTTAAACCAAAAACCAAGCTGTACACATGTTTATTTCTGCTGTGAAATGGTATTTTTAACATGGGAGTCGATGAGGATTTGCTATTTTCTGACACCAGCCCCTAGTGGATGAGGGTGGAACTGCAATTTATTTCACTTCCGCTTTGGCCTCACATTCAGAACCGAATTGTGGGGGCTTGGTTTCGACTTCCTCCACCACCATACTAATACTGCTGTCACCACCTGGTGCAGGTGCATGAGACAATGCATCAGCCAGTACAATAAACTTGCCTGGCATGCCTGGCAAACTTGCCTAGCATGTATATCAGTTCAAACGCTGCAGCATCACTATCATACATTGTATTCTTGGTGACATGTCATTGAGATTCTACTTCTTATTTGTGATGAGAGGTTTGTGATCCATTTCTGCTATGAATGTTGGTAAACCAAACATCTAGCCATGGAACTTCCTGCATCCAAAGACCAAGCCTAAAGTTGCTTTTTCTATTTGAGCGTAGCGTTTCTCAGTCAGATCTGGATGCATATGCCACCGGCTGCCACTTGTTTCATTCTTTTGCAACAGTACTGCTCCCAAGCCATTGTTTGAAGCGTCCGTAGAATCCAGAGAGGGATGGAGAAACATCAGGAGACACATGAGGGAAGATGCAGACGTAGACCATGACAGCAGGATAATGCACCATGTCATAAAGCTCAAATCATTTCACATTGGCTTCTTGAACATGACAAGATCGGTCAGATCTGGGATACGGCGAGAAGACCCGTGAGCCTGATCTAGACTCCAGGGAGAATGCTGAACATCTTCAGAACCAAAATCAGTTCAGTTTGCTTACTTTAGATGAATATTTCATTTCTAAGCTTGTAGCCCTCAGCTGACGAGTTGTTAGCTGACCATTAGCCCCATCATACCGTCCCAATATAATTCACTAATCTATAGATAAAAGAATGTGCTGCCAGTTGAACCTCTGCGTGTTTATATTGAAATAACTCCAAAACAAACTTAATCGATAGATCAGCAGAATAATTCCTCCTGACTGGGATGCTGCAGTAGCTCGCTAGCTTGTGTTTGTAGTAATCCAGGATGGTTCTGAGGTTCTACCGGTCTCTGGAGGATCTATTGTTGAAATATGTGGATCTTCTTTTAGATCTTATCTGTGTGAGTGTGTCGTGGCTTTCCAAATTACTTTTCCCCTTGCTAACACAGTTAGCTGTGTTGCTGCAGTCATGCTAACGGGACTCGTCTGGAGTGCAGAAGGACCGGTAGCGGTTCCAGATAGATTTAGGTTATTATTTTAGGTCAAACCGTTAGTTACAATGTGTGTAGGACTCCGACATAGGGTTCAGACTTTTTGCTGCAACTGTAAACACAATTTTCTGTAATTATTGAACATGAAGTTGATTAAAATACAGCTAAACACGAGGTACTAGCGGCATAAGCTGCCCTGTAAGACATCTTTTTAGTGACGTATGACAAACAGCTCTTCACTGTTTAGAGGAATTTAGATTTTTATGATGATTTATGACAAAATTCCTTAAAATGAATAACTGAACCTAGTTTATCTTTATGTAGATGGTAAAGTGTAGTGAAACAGCGTTAGTCTCAGTCGGCATAAGCAGCAGGGCCCTGCAGGGAATCGAACCCCGTCTCATTACTGAGAGTTCCGTTACCAGAGCCTTTTGCTTTGGGCGACCGGAGACGGTAAAGCAAAACCTGCATCAACAAAGCATTTAATGTTGGAACATAAATTCTGTCTTGATGCATGAAAAAAGAAACCGTCAGACTAAAAAATTATCTCTAATTAAATTCATTTTAGTATTTCATAAACGTTTTACAGATTTAGAGCCTCCTTTGACTTTTATGATTTTCGTTAACTTCTCGTTCTTTTACGATGTTTATCCGTTCTTTAGTCACGGTCAAACGCATCGTAATTTTGTTCTGCGGAGAATCTTAAAGTTATGTTGAATGTAAATAATCGGAGTCTTTATTGTTTTAATTTAACCGCACAGTAACTTGTTAAAATATTCAAGTTAATTTTAATCATTTACATGTTTAGACTATATTTTATTAGCCTTTAATATTTTAGTATTTATTGTTTAACTTTTGTAAAGAGCTATTTTTAAACGCGTGCACATTTAAACACTAAAACCTTTGTTTGCTCCGTCTGTGTCAGAGCTCTGCTGTTCAGCTCCTTCCTGGTTCCTGCAGGACCACAAAGCCCAGAGAAGCTCAGTCCAGCAGGACGTGAGGACACAAACTGACACGGAGAGCTCCTCCTAAACCTGGAATCAAACTTTTCTACAGATTATTTAGAGCAGTTTCTTGTGACAGAACAGTTAGTGAAACAGAAAGGACATGATGAAG